GCCTCTGTTCTTTTACTTTCTATCATCGGGAACGAAGACGACGTCCCATCGTCATTATTGTCAACTCTCAACGAGTTGCCAATCGACTGTCTGTCCGGCTATCTTTCTGCCTGCCGTTTCTAGATTGATGTCTCTGCAGTCAGACAGTCAGTCAGTCCATCAGTCCCGCCGTCTGGTCCAAAAGTCCCGCGAATTATAGGAGGCGGAGGTGATCGGAGGAGGTGGAGATGGAGCAGGAGGGACCATCCGGAGGAGTGGGCAGAGGCCAGCTTGGCACAGTTTGCGCACTTCGGCATTTCATTGCCCCTGCTCGAGATGGAATTTTTGGGAGGAGATTGCCCGTACTTCCAGATAAGAGACAGAATTTTCATTTTAAAAGCCAAGGAATTTCGGGGACGTATAGTATATGTGATATGCGTCGAAAATGTATTTATTAAACATGTTTCAACGCTTTTTAGTTACCCCAAAATATTCTAGCACAAAAACAACATTTATTGAAAGGAACCATATAATATTTTCATTGAAAATGTATACTGCAAGAGTGTTTACCATTTAAAAGGAATTTATGTGTTTATCTACTTTCAAGGGATGACAAGCAGTAACATTTTTAAAATATGTTATTCAACTGCTTTGCTAAAAATGGTTTATATGGTTTCGAAGCCTTAAAACATTTCAAAGAAATTCATAAATATATCTACACTTAAAGGTTATTCGGGTGACAAGCCATAACATATTTAGCATATGCTATTCAATTGTCTTTCCATTAAACCATTTTAAATATATGTATATATTTTGTCTACTCTTTTATTGACAAGCCCTAACATTTTAGAATAGTATTTATATACTTTGCCCTAATGTCTTTTATACGGTTCCAAAATGTATGTCTTCTGGTTCCTTGTTTATATGGGTTACAGGCCTTAAAATATAACACCAAGAAAATACATTGTAATTTAAAAGGAAATATTTGCAACCAGATGTGTCTTAGAATGTGTTCTTGAACTATGTATGCCTTGTTTAAAAAGGTTACATACGGTTTCAAAATGATATTTTTGTTGCTTAATCATATGGCGTTGAAAGGATATCCTTTAAAACTACATTTTATATAAAAATGAAATATTTTCTTCCGAGCTGTACATCCCTTTTGCTTAAGTGTTTTTTTGTGAGCCCATCAATAATTTGTCTGGTAATGTTCTCAAGTAAAAGTTCACTTGACTTCTTGGTTATTCCCAAGAATAAAGTACTCCTCCGTTTCTAAGGTTCGTTGTAATTGTGCAATTCTTTTGTTTGATTTGGCCGCTTAGCTGCGGCGTACTTTTAGCTTTTAGCTGCCCACGACCTGGTTGATTGTTTAGTTGTTATTGTTGTTATTATACATTTGATTCTTGTTATATACTTGTACACATAATAAAAAAGTATCGAGCATGTGTGCGCCTTAATTAAAAACTGAGGCCCGCTGCTCGTAGGAGTTAATTAGACTGCGGAGGTGTACGGGCCCAGTTTTCAGTTTTCAGTCTTTAGTTTTCAACCGATCCGCTGTCGTTCGCTTTCAAGTCAAGCCCCAGCTATTAGTCGCTCAATATTACGCGTTTGCCCGACAACATTGTTTTTATTCTTTGTGCTCTCCGTGTTCTGGGATCTTGAGTTATCGACGATATGGGATGGATGGTATAGGGGGCACGGGGCTGCTGCTGTTCACACGCTGCTCATCAACAATTGCTGTCACGAATTTTCCACTCGGCGCTTTTTGCGCGCGCTACTTGTTTGTATTTTAAAATTTATTTATTTGTGCAGCCTCCACACAGTCCACAGAAGCCTCCAAAGCCTCCACACACATGATGGGGATCCTCGCGTGGAGTGAACTGAACTGAAGTGGAGTGGAGTGGATCGTCCGCATGGAGTATGGGGAGTGTGTGTGCTCCTCCTGGAGCGCACTGAAGAATGCATTTGATCAGATAATGTAATTCGCATTTTAAATTGAGGCGCATTCCCAGTTATACTTCTTCTCACATGCATTTACCTGGCCATCACAGGCATCCTTCGATTTGCGAGGCGGAGGAGTAAGATCGCTGCACTGAAGACTGGAGACGGGAGAAGCCCCATCTCCAGATTCATCTCCTCTGGAGAGGAGGCCAACATTGCGGGCGTTGCATTATTACGCACAAGTAAATCATCGAAAGACGTCGCTCCTGTCCACCATCGAAACCCAGCGGCTTGTTAAGTAATTTAGTTGGCCTTTTTTTCCCAACTCTCCCCGGTGCATTTTGCCTTGCTTTTTTCTATATTGCATTTGGCATATTTGTTTAAAGAGCTTCTTGTGAGCTGAATTTGTTATTGTCTCTATAAATGCAATAAATTGGCATTCAATTAGGCCAAAGGTGTTTTGCTCTTTGGTGGGTAGCAGTAGCTCTCTTGGCAGATGATCGGAAAAATGGGAAAGGATGAAATGGAGCAGGAAGATTTTAACAAAGATATTGTAAACTAGATTTGATTCTTTGGCGCCAATTCTTTGTGTGCAATTCTAGTTTAAAATGGCTTATCTGGTAGATTGCTTGTATAATATTATAGTTATAATTATATAATATAATCATTAAACATAAGGTACATCTAAATAAAAAAAGGCGTTATATACGGTGAACATTATCGTCCTCTTCTATATATTGTTAAGAAATATTGGCTTTATTTGTTTTTAAAAACCTTTAAAACCTTTGAAATGAAATGAAATATTTTAAAGACACCAATAGTAGTAACTTCAAGTTCTACCAAACTTGTAATACCAAATATTTCTTAGAAAAAAAAAATGTATTTATTCCAGGAGCTTTATTTTTTCAATAATTATTTAAAACAGATTTTTCTGAGTCAGGGATTCTTCTTTCGAATAAGAAAATGGTTTATAAATATATTTTATTTAATGCACTATGAATTTCCTTGTTGTGAGTTATTATTGTAAAATAGGTTATGTGAGCCATTCGGCCTGTTTCTTTAACTAACTGATTTTCGACGCCTGCACTTCTCTTTCCTGATCGCACAAAAACTTTTGGCTACTTGGCATTTCCAGGCAATCAGGCATTAGCATATCGGTCATAAGATCTATAACTAAACCCTACGGACAGTTGACAGTTTTCTCCGCCCCGCAGACGGATCAGATTGGATCGGACGGTATGGGATCATATGGGAGCCATCATCATGCGAAGAGGCTCGTCCTGCTTTCTAACGATTGCATTTTTGATATTTGTGACACGCAGATTTTCCATCAGTGTCAACAAGGCATTGTTTGGCGAACGGAACGTCAACGTGGTTGGTCCTCCATCCTCCAACCTCAATCCCGAACTCCCAGACTCCTCAGTCCCCCGGACTCCCGACTCCTGACTCAACTGACAGACTCGATCGGCCGTCCGATCGTCGTCGATTTTTCAACATCAGACCAAAGTCAGGCCAAAGTCGGGCCAATGCAAAACCGTATGCAGCGCGTACATTTGCATAGACACAAAATTATATGAGACCGAGACCCAGGACCCACAAAACGCAGCTTCCTGGTCTTTTTGTGTCTGAAATTTATGTACCCACACAATGGGGTAACAAAACAGTTGGAGGAACTGAACGCTTAGGCCCCGTCTTCCATGGGGCCCATGGTGTTGGCCTAAACACCATTCTAGCGGTTCGTTTAGCTTGTTTATTGGCATGAAAATCTATCAAAAATGCATCATGCATTTTATATTTATTATACGTAAATACAAAAATAATGTGCTTGACATTTGACCCGGCCCAAACGACAACAGCGTTATGGCCAAGCCACATGTTGCCGGTTGCCAGTTGCCAGTTGCCAATAGGCTTTTAGCCAAGTTGCCTGCAAGTCTGCCAGTCCCGACGACTGATTATGAAACTGCCTGCTTTGTCGGTATCCGAGTACCCAAGTATCCGGGGATATTTGGTTATTGTCTTTGATTTTGCATTCTAACACAAATCAAAACGGGCCAACAGCAATCCCAACACTCGCCACTTAAATGCTCGTTTATAACGTTGTTAAAATACAATAAATAGCCAGGATTCGCAGCAGGCGGTTTTCACTAGCCGGCTCTCCGAAGGCGAACACATTTCCATTTCCCTCTGCTCATGCTGATTTATGAAATGTGGACGCCGATGTGGCGGGCCCACAAGCCGCAAACAGAGCCCCAACCCCCTTTTGGCCAGCTCTCTGACCAGGCTAAGACTCCGATCCGGGGCCTCTAACTGGGCAAAGTCGGCAGGGGTGATTGTGTGATTGTAGGCCCGTGATTGAGTTGTCGGCCTGCTGGGCTACTGTTTGCCGTTTGCAGTTCGCTGAGTGGCTTATCTTAGCGGTGCATCGCAGCTGTTCGACTAGCCTGGCATTATTCTGCCGCCTTCACTTATCACGGCCTAGAAGGGGTCATAAAGTGATCTAGCACACCGAAAGTATCTTAAATGGTAGCCCAGGGTCTAGAAACTTTTACCAGAGCTCTACGAAATCAATAAAGAAGTAAAAGTCTATAAACTAAAAATGTAAGGAATTTAAAAACAATTTCTTGTCAGAGGAAGTACCAATTTTCATTCCGTATAGGGTGGTAATATTCCATTTTACAGGCTAACAAAATAAAGACATTTTTTTTGACGGTTTGTTATAAATTTTCTATGGCAAAATAGGGTCCTCAAAAAATACATTAATTAAATTTTATCATTTCTTTTTATGAGCATCTAGAAATCGTATAGAAAAATTTGTTGGGGTTTATAGAACTCCACTCTAACAAATTGATAAAACTTTTCAATTGAATGGACTGACTGTGTTTTGATCTACCCTTTATAAGTACTGTGAGAATTAGTTATTTTAAAAATATATCAGTTTAAAATCTATTACTTATAAGAAAAAACTTGAATATTTAAGCATTTTATACATAGCTATAATCAGCTTCCCATGAAATAATAAATCGATTACCTCCACAATTTCACAATTTAAGTAATCATTAAACGTAATATTTTCCACTTACCCATAACTAAGTGCCAGCCAATCGAATACATTTCTTCCTTATCTCTTTGCAAACAGCCATGATCACTGAGTGATCCTGACTCAAGTATTCATGTCACCATCTTGTAATGTTCTTTTATTAATTTTCTTCACACACTTTCCCAGTTTTTCTTTTGATTGATCCACACTTTTCACGTCTTTCAATCGCTCAAGCAGAAGAGCCAAAGATCGCTCCTCGATCGTCGTGCAGGTCACGCAGTTACTCACAGACTGAAAACGTAACCCTAGCGGTCGGGACTCTTGAGTCTTGAGTTGGAGAAAACTGAGAAGAAACCCGTTCTGTGGGGACTTAAGAGTACGATCGGAACTTGAGGCGATAGGTGCGATAGAGAGGCTACATACAGCCGATCCGCTTGCACCTTTGAGCCGCACTCTTCGGGGTTCTCTTAAGCCCGACTCTCTCGGGTTTTATTAGGCACTTATATTTTATATAGTCGTCCATATAGCGGCGATCTGTGGGCGGGACTTGCTGGCTGCTCGTGTGCGTATTAGATTTTATAGACTCGCTTTTGACTTGCTCACCAATTCCATTTTGGGCCGGGCTCTATATACATTGGCTGCGTGGGGACAAATGAGCAAACAAATGAGTGGTCCCCGGTTGCTCTGGGCCCTGGGCATGAAAATTCAATTTACACCAACCTGCTACAAAATGACGTATCTCTGCATGTATTTATTGAAATTTATTCAATTATATACAGAGATATCTGCAGCGGATACTTCGTTCTCCAGCGATTTGTTGGGTGTAACCAGTTTTCGCTTAAAAAAATATGAAATCAGCGATTGAATATTTTTTCTTTCGCTTGTGGGCGTGGGCACACTCCGTTCCTATAGATGGTTTTTGCTTAGCGTCTGTTCATTTTTGTAAAATGACACAATTTAATGAAATCCAAACAATTCTCGACATGGTCTTTGACTAATGATGAAGGCGCCGATCGGAGTGCTGGAACCGATTTTTCAATTAGTCTTAGAGTCGGACAGTAAAACTTGTGGCTCTGATCGACATTACCTAGATTTATAGCGGTTTTAAATTAGCAGATATATATCAATTTTGTCAGATTGGGTTTTTTGTTTTCCATAAAAATATATTTCAATTCCCATTCTGCATATTAACGTATTTTTTATAATCTTTGTTTTACAGTCAAACAACAAAACTAGATTTGTTTTAAATAAGTATAGGTATACACATTTTTTCCAATGTTGTATTGGTTCTATTGTTTTTCTATATAAATACATTTTTATTTATTTAAAGTATTCGTAAATATTTCACCCCAAAAGTTAAAAGATTTACTTGCAACTTTTTTAATACGTTTTGGTTTCGGACAAGCTTTGTTTTAAATTAGCATAGATGTTTAGAAAACACAAATATATATTTTTTGTCTTTCCAAAAATATTTCTAAATATCAAAGGATTATTTGTTGTTTAAAAATTTTTATCTGTCAACAAAACATTTTGATTTCTGGTTTTATTTATTTTATCTTAAGGTCATCTTTTAAATGCCAATCAACGCTCACGATATTCAAATGATAGTCAAAGTGAATAAGTTTATCAAGACCCCACTTATTTAAACTGTGTACCCAATTAAAGTGGCTATATTAAATGACAAAGAAAACATTTTAAATTGATATAAAAGTATCCTTCGTAATGCAGCTTTATCTAGTCCTACATGACATACATTCAATTGGGTTTCCAGAGTTTAATCGCTGTCAGTGGCTCCAGATTGTTTGGCTAGTTAAAGGCCTTCTTCGAATTGGCTAAATCTAGCTAAACATCGAATTCAGTTTGCCGGGGCACCCACATCAGTATCAGCCCCCCTCCAAACCTTCGATTCACTTAACATACGCCGAGTTGAGATCTTGTATTCGTATAATTGCAATTTCCATTCAACTGTTTGTTCGCCGCCGGTTTGTGTCCAACTCCATTTCATTTGTTTGGCTAGTTTTGCGGTTGTTAGTGCCCATCATAAATTGCCGGAATTGGGGTAAGGAGTCCTCCTCCGGCGCCTGGTGATGTGGATAGGACGGAGGGAGCGGCACAGTCTAATCGGTGGCGTTTCATCTGCGGCCTGCTGTCCTGTTGCCTCTTGTTCGCCTGTCGGCGCACGCATAATTAGGCCTGAGGACAATCGTTTTGGAAGCTGCACTTCAGGAAATTAATGGGAGATTACATAGGTATATCACCAAAAATTAAAGAATGTTTTTCAAAGATTTAATGTTTTTAACGTGTAAAATCCCTTAACAAATACTGATTGTAATCAATATTTATTGATCTATCGCCTTGATATTCAATGAATCCTATTTAAATTATTTCCACAAATTCCTAAATTAAATTTGTAATATCTTTAACCGATGGATTAGTTATAAATTCTTGTAGATTCGTTTAGGAGTAAGGAGTGTAGGCCCGCCTTTATAATTGAAAAATATTTTTTGTTAGGCATTTTTAATATTTTTACAAAATGTATCATATGATTTCTCCATAAGCGAGCTTAAGGCCTTTTTCTGCTATAGCTCAAAAATAAACCCACTGCTAGCTTATAGTTTTACCCATAAGTTAGCATTAGATAATAATAATAATAACAATAATAATCATATAATTTCTTCTTCGTTGAGATCTCAAAATAGTAAAATTGTATTTTAAAAAATACTTAAAAGTAAATGTGAACAAACAAAATATATTTTAAGATATATTTTCGGGGTACCCTTTTTGTGCGAGTGCATTAGTAGCAGGTTACCCCTCGCAATTTGGCCAAATAATTGGTAACTGAAAACAATAAGCTCGTTTTTCGTACTCCCGGCCAATCGTGGCATCTTAATGCGGCCCTGACATTTAAATAGATGCTAATTCCCATCATAACTGACTGGGGACCCCGAGCTCTACAATTCCCGTTTGCCGGGTGGGTCTGAACTAATGAATTTGAACCCGCCACTCGATTGAGACAGACTCACGACGACCCAAGTCGACTTCGACTTCCTGCTGGCCGCTTTCTTTGCGCGTGAATCCGTGTAACCGCAACCCGCATCAGAGAAAAAGACACAAAACTGTGATTTGCCCAAAAACAGAAAGCCGGCAAGAAAGCTTCGCTTCGGTTTGCTTTGCTTTGCTTTGCTTTGCGGATATAAACGCTTTAAAACTCCATATTGTGGCTTGGCCCGGATGCGACGACAATTGTGAAGACGACCAAATGGCCAAACTCCGACTCCCAGTTTAGCTGGCAAATGTCTACGCAGTGTTGTCGCTTCTCCCGCTTTTGTTGCCCATGGTTGTTGGTAGTTGGTTGTTGGCTGTTGGTTGTTGGTTGTTCGCTTGTTGCCGCTTCGTGTCAACTGACTTGGGCCTTAGCTTTCGGCTTTTGTTTCCACAAGCCAAGCCGCCCCATTTTGCTTAGCCGGGCCGGCAAAGTTGGCCAAGCCATCCCATAACATTTGCCTCAACGTTTCCTGTTCAGAATGTTCGCCGCTGTCCTGTGGTTGTGATTGTGTGATTCCTCCTACAAAATCGAGGGACAGTGGTTCAGGGAGATGTCTTCATTTAAAAATCAAAGATTTCCCCATTAATTTTATTAAATTTTGAAGAACCATTGGCTTTAAAAACTATTTATCCAATTGTTTAAATTCCGCTTTCATAATATTATTAAAACTATTCCCAAACATTCTGTCTTATAAATCTCTAAAGATAACATTGATAAAATAACCTTTTTAAAATTCAAAGTTCCTTTAAAATATTTCAAAGAAAATCACGCTATCTACAAGCCCTTTTAAGGTTCAATCATCGCGTTTACTCGTTGTTATAGAGACTAGAATTGTTTTTATCTATTTCAATGATGTTCGGGCAATAAATTCCGGACCTTTCCTAAACCAAAACCCATTTCATCGCGTATTCTCACCCTTTTGTGCCACTGTTATCCTTTTGGCCCGTTCCCTGGGCAATTGTGCGTTAGATTTAAGTGCTTTCGTTTGCCAGGCTTAATTTGCATTTTTATACCCGTTACTCGTAGAGTAAAAGGGTATACTAGATTCGTCGGAAAGTATGTAACAGGCAGAAGGAAGCGTTTCCGACCCCATAAAGTATATATATTCTTGATCAGGATCACTAGCCGAGTCGATCTAGCCATGTCCGTCTGTCCGTCTGTCCGTCTGTCCGTCTGTCCGTCTGTCCGTCTGTCCGTCTGTCTGTCCGTCCGGATGAACGCTGAGATCTCGGAAACTATGAGAGCTAGGCTATTGAGATTTGGCGTAAAAATTCCTGAGCTTCTTACGCAGCGCAAGTTTGTTTCAGTAGACTGCCACGCCCACTCTAACGCCCACAAACCGCCCAAAACTGTAACTCCTACAGTTTTGATGCTAGATAGAAAATTTTAACTGAAATGTATTGTTCTCATCAATACCTATCGATTGACCTAAAAAAAAGTTTGCCACGCCCACTTAAACGCCCACAAACCGCGAAAACCTGTGACGCCCACAATTTGCATGCTAGATAAAAAATTTTAACTGAAATGTATTGGTGTCGTCAATACCTATCGATTGATCCAAAAATAATTTTGCCACGCCCACTCTAACGCCCATAACGCTTAAATCTGTCTACCGCCGGTAGGTGGCGCATTTTAATTTCGCTTTGCTGCTTGCATATCTCCATTTCCCTTTGAGTAACGGGTATCTGATAGTCGAGGTACTCGACTATAGCGTTCTTCCTTGTTTTTATTATTTTTATGTTTTCATTGAAAGCGCCAGCATCAATGGAGCCCGCTGGCTTCAGTCGAGAGCACATTTGGCTATTCCTTTGTTTTCGGCTTAAAGTTATCAGTGTCGGTAGATGTACACGGCATCAACGGTAGCAGCAGCAACATGCAAAATGCAAATGTTTATTGGCCAAATGCTGAACGATCTCAGCCAGCTAAACTGAGAATGGGTCCTTCGGTTTTTTTTTCTTTCGTTTTTGTTTTTTTGTATTTTTTTTTTGCTTAGCTTTGAAGCGATTGAAGCGGGTGCTGACTGCCACAAAGTTGTCGCCTTTTGTTGTGGCAGCAACCATTTTGGTAAGAACAACTAATCAATTGGCAAATGTGCCATCCGTCAATCAGCCAGTCAGTTGGCGGTGGTGTAGGTCACACGACACCACAGTGGTTGTTGCAACTTTAGCTGCAACTTCGGTTTGCAACTGCAACAGGCCACCGAATTGACTCGCATTCACTTTTGGGGCAAATAAAATGCCACCTTGGTTGTGAATGTCAGTTAGCCAATTTGAAAATTCATTCATTCAATGCTTTGACGACTCGCTGACTGACTATTGCCAACATTTATTATTAGCCTTTCCCAAACTGACTATTTTTGGAGCTACCGATGGCCACACAACAGTGGCAACAGCAGCAGCAACAACAACATGCCGCACATATCACAGCAAGACAAATTTCTATATAATTGCATTTGTCGCAGGCTCCCCAAGCCTCGAAGTTCGATACCACTGGCGAGGCCAGATCGGCCAGACAATGCCAGGCATTATTTTTATATAAATTGCATGCCATTGGCCCGGCCAGTTGGCATTCCATCCAGCCAATTGCCAGTTGAGAGTTGAGACTCGGGCTGGGTTTTCGCTCCGATTGTTTGTATTTTTTTTGCCTCGCTTTCAGCTTTTAGCCAGGCTCAAACTCTAATGTCATTTAATGAGACACGCTCGGCATTTGCGCACGACACACGACTATCAATTTGGCAAGTTGCAGTTGGCATCGGCAGGAGCAGCGGAATCAGAATCTGCCGTAGAAGCCATCGATGAAAATGTTCGAATCGAAGAAAAATCCAACTTGTCGTCCTGCATCGATTCTGCAAATTAAATGCGATATTGATGGAGCGCAAATTGAAATGGCAGGGCTTTCAATTTAGCTTAACATTTGAGTCACTAAATAAAATATTATTAAGTTATATAAAACATCAAATTCTGATAGGGGTAAAGGTAAATAAAAGAATAAATCATAGACAGTTGTATGAATTAAATACTATGAATAATTGTTTCTTATTTTACCTTAAGCTCAAAAACTACCACTATATCAATCTTCACACCATGATATTTGAACTAGCCTCTTAAATGAATTTAATAAGTATTTATTTATAGCTTAAATTTCTTGGCAAAGGCTAGGTAAACTCAGCATATCTATTAATTGCAAAGAAAATGTATGAGAAATGCGAATACAAATCAAATGCCAAAAAATTTCGTATTATAAACACTTAAACATTTCAAGAATGTAATGTATAATGTTTTATAATAATACCAACCCCTAAAATTATGTCATATTTGTATTTATAAAGCAAATAATGCTTGCTAAAGGTCTTAATCATTTAATAATGGAACCGAGCAACCCCTAAGATGGTGTCAGTGGAAATGTTTGCTCAGCGAGCACTTGAGGGCTTTATTTCCGAGACGATTTCAACAGCCTCCGTGGCGCAATTGGTTAGCGCGTTCGGCTGTTAACCGAAAGGTTGGTGGTTCGAGTCCACCCGGGGGCGCTTAAAATCTTTTTTTCTTTTTTTTTCTTTATTAAATAGCTTCCTTAATGTTTTGGGTTAATAAAACTTTTATTTATTGCTTTTGTGTGGCGAATTTTAATTGTGAAATTACTAAAGGGAAATCGCACACGTTGTGGGAGGTCTGTAATTAAGTTCCCTCGACAAAGAAAAGATTAGATAAGGGGGAAGAACAAGCGCACAAATAATTGGATTTTTATTGAGCGCTAGCAGGGCTATTACCAGAATTATTTCCCTCCTTATAAGTGTGCGCTTAAAATGCAAGCTTGGGCATAATGTAACCTTTACATGAGCAGCTCCACTTTCCGCTGCCTTGCAATTTTTCCACTAGTCTTTTTTTCGCATCTGCAACAGAAAACCGCGAGCGTAACAACAGTTGCACATGCACATGCTGGCCAAGTATATCATGGCAACTTGGAGACAGTTTGTCGTCGTTGGTTTTGCTAATTAAAATGTCTTGGTGCTGTCACTCAAAAGGCGGTCGCCTGATCCACTGGCCAAGTCGAGTCAACTCGCTTGGTTGGCGGCGGACGACGGCGACGTCGACGATGACGACGCCCATTTTAGTCAGCGGCAACAATGCGATTTTGCCTTTCGCGAAATGCTGCTGCTGCTGCTGCTGCTGCTGATGTGGCTGCTACAATTTCATTGGAAGTCCGCTGATGATGTGGCAGGGGCACGCGGCGTATGCGCAATGCAATTTGCGATCTCCCTCGCACAAAATGGCGATCGCATTGTTACAGTTTGCAATTATTTTGATTTATTTTTTGTTCGTCCCAGCGGTTCAGCCTGTGCTGGCACTAATCAAAATTAAAATGACGCGTTCGCTGCCATCCCATCCAAGGCATTCGATGGCCCGCACCGATCGCCCCGCTCGCCAGGAGAGCCAGAAATCAATATTCTAAATTCTTTAACGCGTGTGCACATTTAAGGCAACGCCAGCTCATTGAGATGCGTGCCGGCAAACAGCCTGGCCAGCACTTATACGCAATTTCGCGCCATATTTGGTTCAAACATATTGGATTTTTTTTTTGTCATCTCGTCGTCGTCGTCGTCGTCGCGTCTTTGCTCCCTGCACTTGGCTGGCATATAGAACAGCAGACCGGAGCAGTCCAGAGATCTCCCTCCCGATCCAATCCCAACTAAGCTTAGCCTTAAGATCAGCCCAGACCAGACTGTTTGTCTACATCGCTAATCGGGTGTCTTGGCTTGTTTCTTTCCAGGATGACCGATCGCCTACCTCGTCGGGCAACGAGTCGGATGACTCGTCGGATGTGGAGATGCCGGCGGAGGCTGCCGAGGTGGCAGCCAAGTCACAATCAGCCAGCAAAACAGAGCTATCAGCGCCTCCCGTTGCCGCACCATCATCATCATCTGCCTCATCTTCTGGCCCCAAAACCATGCCAGCATTGACCTATCAGACTGAGACTAACAACGGACCCTCGACGTCCACAGCCGCTGGAGGAGGAGGTGCAGGAGGAGCCCCAGCGGACAGCAAGTACGTCTACTCGGCTGCCTCGATTGCCAACATACCGCAGAAAATGCTGAGGCAACTCATACAGTCGGGACACTTGCAGCTGCACGCTGAAGAGGGTGGGTACTACGGAAATCCCTCCTTATGATCTAAAAACTAAATAAACTTTCCCAATTACAGATGGCAATCAATATGTTACCATACCACTCAGCTCCACGGCGGCCAATCTGATCAAGAGCAACAAGCTAACAGCCTCTGGATCAGGAACCTCGGTTTCGGTGCCGGGAACTCCAGTCAAGAGCGATCCCAGTGCCGAAAAACCCTTGACCATCAAACAGGAATACGATTAGCCCCCAGCTACGCTACCCACTGCTTATCCAATACTGAGAACTGCGTTTAACCACACTTGCCCACATCATCTTAAAAAAAAAAGCATCAGCAGGAGATTCCCATTACACACCCACTACTCTCTTAAAGTCTATCCAAAGTTTTCGCGTCGTCTGTAACGGATGACGATCGCCTGCTAAGTCTAAGTCATACTATATCTACTATATCGTATATATACTATTTTTATACCTATACAAGAAAAAGTGAGAAGAGATGAAAACCCTGATCTGGTACCCAAGATGCCAGCGGCATAGCTACATACGTAAGTTTTAAAAGTTTTGCAAGTTATACAACCTAAAGGCATTAAACTGATATCGAGATGAACTATGATCGATGATTGTATGAGAAATGGATAATGGAAAGTAAGGATGATATGGATGTTCCTAAACCGCAGAGATCATGTTGCTTTGTTACTAGTTTATATTGTTTTATTATACAATACATAAATACATAATACTTTTTTTGCATAAAACCAAATTGTTGAGTGTTTTTCATTAAAATGCAATGGGGCTTAGCCTTTTAATTTAAATCGGATTCACAGATTTGCTTCGAAACCAATAAATTTATGGTTCAATCAAGTGAAATGACACCAAAGCAGCAAATACCCACCCCAGCAATTATAGACAGCTACTTAACAATATATATTCTACACATAGTGTGTATCTATGAGAGTGCTTGGATTAAGCACACTCACAAAAAGAGCGGCGGACAAATGCCTTTTGGTATTTAGCCGCTTGATGGATGTGTCCGTGGTGGGTATTGTGCAATTGATTGATTGACGACATAATCTTATTGACACTTAACCTAATTAAACGTCGCTCATTACTCGCTCATCGCACAGGTAGTCGTACTCGCCTTCTAGCACCTGTTACCGCTTATGGCCCTCGATTGGGGCTAAGGAGGCCCTTGTCTTCCCATTGATCTCTTCTGGGCGGAGGAGCGAGGGACGAGTACTTCCGCTTCGGCGGAGGCACTTTGCATGCAGGAGACCCACAAAAGGCCACAAAAGGCGCAACGTGTGGCACATACTAATGGTTGCCACTTGCCGACCCGAGTACAATGGTTATATTTTAATTTGTTTCTTATTATAATAATAGCTTTCAAAGGAAAAATTATGCTTAACAAACAATGTGGTATCTTACAAACTATATAATTTTTTATTTAATATCTAAATAACATTGGAATATTTTGAGTTCACCCAAGTACTTACTTGTTTACTAAAGAATAAATGTAGTCATGATTATATCATATGTCGGACATATGTGAAATCACTTTTTAAATATTATTTTACCCAAGTTCCTTGACTAGGTATAAAATGTTTGAATAAAACCATAACGGGATGAAGCATAATAAAAGTTATGATTTTATAAATAAAATCGGAAACCGGATTTAAAAATTGATTTCACATATTTCGACTTCCAATTATAGCTAAAGTATACTTATAGCTTGGTATACTTACGTACGATGTTAAAGATACTTTTTATATACAAAATTCAAACTGTTATAAAAGTATATAAAAAAGATTGAATTTAAGTAAATACAAAGCATATAGAAAGAATTCTTTTAAGTGCTTTTGTCTTTTATTGTTTTATTTATTATTTCCAGTGCTTCAAAAAATATTATTTTGGATAACAAAACCTTTAAAACGCAGCCACTGTGCGTTGGCTAAGTGTGGACGACATGGGCGGTGGATTGGCACGCGCCGCGGCTTCCGTGGGTTTCGGTCTTCGTCTTCGACTTTGACTTGGTCTTCAGCCGGAAGCCGTTAGTTGTTTGGGCCATGTGGGCTTTTATGGCCAAGTGTCGACGGCGGAGACAGAAATCAAAGACTATAGCTGCCCAAGCAGCCATCCCACTCGTTGGCCCGGTCAAAGTTGAGTGGGTCACTAAACTCGGAGTCGGATATCGACGGTGTTTGCGAATGAAACCGCAATTAGCGTTTATTATGGCCAGCGGAGTTGATTGACATTTTGTGGGCTAGTTGAGGGGGGCGCTCATGTCCCTTTGTCTGTGTTTGTCCTGGCTAGCCGCTTCATTATTAACCGCACCCACGCAAAGCTCATGTGAATATTGATCCTGGTCCGCTGTCCTGGCCATACCGACGATTATTAATAATGGTCACGCGCGCGGAAAACTTTGCATTGCAATTTCTCCAGTAGTCAGTCGCCATCGCATTGTCCCGACAAACGGCTGTGTGTCCTGAAGGGCTGCCGGATACCTACCTTGGTAAATCCCAGAAAAATCAATACTAATGAGCCATTAAACGTGGCCTCAGCTGCAGTTGGCCGTAGTCTAATGAGCTGAACGGCGGCGGAAATTGAATGTTGGCTCTAACCAAGCGGCTGCAGCAGGAAATCACATCAGCATCGTTTTCAGCCATCTTCCCGCCGAACGGAAACGGTAGAAGTAAAGGTAACGGTAAAGGTAGTACTGAAACGGAAGTCTTAGGCGTAATGCCTTGCGCCTGAATGGTTGCGTAGCATGGGCTGCTCCGGTTCCAAAACCTCCGCCACAGAAGAAGACACCAAATCACAAAAGCCCGCTTCAGCCAAGTCCAATAAAACTAAAATGGCCGGCCACAAGGAGTACCGTGAGTTGGGACTTTAAGCCATATAATAGGATTTTTAATAACCCTCTGTTCCAGCTGCCTCGGAGGCATTTACCATTCCCTTGGAGAGCGATGATAATCCGGAACTGCCGCTGAATGAAACCTTGCGACAACCACCGAAGAGGATTCAGCAAATGATGCAGGAGGCAGCCAGTTCGGAGCCACCCACTTTGGAGGAACTGGAGGACAAGCAACTGAAGGCCGAGCAAAGACGGCAGGAGCTAATGCAGCAGAAACTGGAGATCATCCAGAAGAATACCCAAATGCTGATGAGGAGTCATGAGGATATCCCAGCCGAGTGCGAGGAGGAAACCCCCGAAAAGGACTAAATAAATACTTCTTTTTCATTCACATTTTTTATTGTTAGCTTTAAATTATATATGTATTACTATATATCGTAGTATATTTCCAAACAATTAGATTGTATGCAATTAAATCTGCTCTCTTCACCAAAATGCTGTCCATCTGTTCTTGCTCTGTAATCTGTAACCGGTAATCAGTAATCCTATATGTCAAACCTTTTCGCTGGTAGTCAAAAACGTGATCTATTTGTAATCGAGTGTCCGGCACGGGCCGAGATTATATATGTATGTACGTCTAAAGGCTATATGTAGGTATTTTGGATTGGTTTGCTCGACTCGCGATTGGCTTTAGTCGGATATATATTGTTTGCAGTTTGCAGGTTGCAGTACTATATGCTTCATTAGGATGTGTGTGCGTGGTTGTAAATCATGTCTTTTGGGTTTGTTGGTTGGTTGTTGTTCATTACTTCATATTAAAGGTCGTATTCATATATATGTACTTGTATATATCGTATCGTTTAGGTATAAATATGCGTATTGTGTCACAGACACTACAAATGTCGCTTTGATTTCGGCTTGATTCGCACTCGCAACCGCGTCAAGGCCCCCCAATTTTCATTTCCATTCGCCTTGGATGAACGGGGGCCAACAATTTGTTAATATTTCAATTAGTTTTACCTACACACTCATTAAAAATGTTCGCTCCCCAATCGCATCGAATATATATCGTAGTACCTGGATGTCTTTTGCTTATACTGTATGTATTTTACTCTCTCATATGCTTTAAATATGCTTGCGGTTTATGTACTATTAATAAGTTACTTGAATTGGTGCACTTCGAAGAAGCATTTGGTTTAATAGCTATGAGTTGTGGTACGATTCGAGGATGTTGTCCAAAGAGATGGTCCGCCAGTCGAAGGGTTGGCCACTTTCAGCACAACCTAGTGTAAGGGTTATTTAAATACTATTCCGTCTAGTGATCCTGATCCCTGATCCTTGATCCCCGATCCCCGCCCCATGTCCTTGATCCTCCCTCAACTGGGCCATCTCTTCGACATACGCCCCAAACATATTGCTTGCGTTACTGATTTTACTCTTGGTTTTACATAGATCATGCCAATCCGCTCGTTCGGATGGTTTCCTCGTCAGTTACAAAAGGTTTGTTCTTAGTTGTTGAACCATGGTGGGTTGCGTTCTTAATACATACAAATAATCGTAATTTTATACATACATATTCAGATATATTAGCAGGTATGTGTCTACAAATTGATTTGCACGGTTTGGTTTGGTTTTTTAGTTTTTTAGTTTTACTTTTTGGTTTCTACGCACATGTACAAAAAAAAAACTGATTCAAACTATCGAAAACGAGCAGTACAATCACAATATTCCCCCTACGATTAAATACATGTCATATCCTATCATATCATATCCCCCCAACCTACACAACGAAAATCGGAACGAGAACATAACGTTTCCATTGGTTGGCCAAGATGCAACCGCCATTCGTTGAACTACTTTGAACTTGTATTAAAGCTTTTTGGGTTTCTGCCTCTCTGCCTTTCGCCGAACAACTTAAGCTAAATCATTTGCCATGTGTATAATAATAAATATATATCCTTATATATGTGTATGTGTATGAATTGCAAATCGTAATCCATTATATTTGTATTAAATTCTTCTTGCATCGAGCATGTGCCTACCTAACAGTACGTAAACGCCTAACAAAATGGAATCTCTCGCTTTTCGGGATCATGATCATCGGTGATAACTCTTTCTCTTTGGCTATGTGCGTGGAGGGTTGCCTTGGAAATTAGGTCTAAAGATGGCTAAATTAGATCTTTGGCATACTTGGAAGCAGTTGGTTGGCCATGATTGTGACAACTTAAAATTTTTAACGCATCCAGAGAAGGAAAGGTGATCTGAGATCAAGAATAAAGTGATCTTTAAAGAAGAAGATCCTTTTTAAACTATCTAAGAATGGATTGATGTCCCCTAAAACCTCAGTTCTGGCAAATAAATATATGGCAACCCTCGCGGAATGGTAATGCGTGTATATAGTCGGGGGCTAGACATCAAAAAATCAGTACTGCTTGTCAATGGGTAATCGCTAAGCCTAGTTTTGGTTTTACTGCCTCCCAAAAATTGTAGCACACAACACTTATTGCAACTACTAGTAGTTAACACCGGTTATCCCTCTAACTTTCTCACTGGCCAGTTGGGTAACTATGATTAAGTGTGAATTATCTAGTTGTAGACGCCGCGCACCATGCCCTCGCGATTCCGGGTGTGCCACTTGCAGGTGAGGATCCGGACGTAGGTCCTCCGGAAGGTGGCGTTGCATAGGGCATAACACATGGGGTTGATCGTCGAGTTGATGTAGCAGAGGGCGTAGAAGAAGTCCCACAGCTCCGTGGGTATGCAGTCGGAGCAGGTGGTCAGTGGCTTGATGAGCACCAGGATGTTGTACGGCGTCCACGTGATGATGAAGCTCAGCAGGATGGCCGAGAGCGTCTTGGCCGCCTTCGACTCCTGCCGCTTTTCCTGCGATTTCTTTTTCTTCTTGGCCGCATTGCGGGCGTTCATTAGGGCATGGGCCCCGCCCACTCCGCCAGCGCCCACCGCCCCCTTGCCCAGCTGCTTGGGTATGACCTTGGCGTTGAGTAGCCTGGCATCGTGCTGGGCATGGGACATCCTCCTGCCGAGTGGCAGGCTGAACTCGGAGTCTCGCGAGGGCAAAGGTCGCCGGGTGGCGGCGGCGGCGGCGGCAGAGACGACTGGCGGTGCAGCTGCCGACGTCGTCGTGGGCCCATCCTCGTGTATCATCTTGATGGAGGGTGCACAGTCGCCTTGCAGGCTCAAGGTTGTCGAGGCAGCTCCTCCACAGCCTCCTCCTCCTCCTCCGCCACCTGCATTGCCAGCTCCTCCTCCGTTGGCCGCATTGCTGGATGCTCCATCGGATGGCAGGCGGATGAGTATCGTGTACACCGAATCCTGGCTCACCGACCGTGAGTTAATGCGATTGATCACGGGCAGCGTGCGTGAGTCGCGGTGCGATGCATTTCCGGCTGCCCCACTTCCGTTTCCGCCAGCGCCGCCATTTCCATTTGCCGTGCCATTGCCATTGTGATTGCTGCTGTTGTTGTTGTTGTTGATGGCGCCATTGCCATTGCTGCTGGAATTCGCATTCGCAATCGGATTGCCATTGCCAGTAACCGCACTCATTTCCTGCAGCTGCGAAATGGAGGCGAGCGGTGGGCGTGGCAGCGGCGTGGGCGAGACATCCGACAGCAGAATGCTGGGCGGACGGACGCCGCTCACACTGCCGCCCATCGAGTAGTTGTCCCGCATCACGTTCATCGAGGTGCATCTGCGGTTCGGAAAAAGAGGGCGAAACAGAGGGGATATCGTTTGGTATTTTGGTTTCGTATCGGAAGCACGCATTAGAGTGGACCACTCCAAACGACACTGACAGGCAACAGGCAACAACAACAACCCGGGATGCAACTGCTCGTCTAAATGTGGCGCACTCAGAGACACAGGACACAGAATACATCATGCATGTGTAGAGTGCATTTCGGAATGGAAACAAGTGACCGGAAATCGCAACTTAAATCGATTACCCAGCCGAATGCCAGAGGCACACATAAATTGAAACAAGACCAGCGGTTAGATTTATGTGTCTATATACATTGTATATCCTTAAAATGCCATTTTGGCATTCGTTTTAATAAAGTGTGGGATTTTCACATATTTTGTCGGCTGGCCTAAATGGCGACACATTTCAGATTCATCTAAATAGCTCATTTTCGCTAATTCATTTTGATGCCAGTCACAGATTGCATATGGAATTGCATTTTGGCTAATGTATTCAACTGTTTATTTTTGCTAATTATTCCCCACTGATCTTTGCAAATCAATTTGCATGCAACTTTGTGGACTTTCGGGATTGAATAAATAACCAGCTGTAGCTAATGGAATAGAATTGTCAGCTGTTCAAATGAAAGTTCTAGAACTAAAATATTCATAACAAATATATTAAGTACAGGTACAAATTGATGTGTTAAAATGGACACAATAAAAAAATGAATACTCTTACTTTCCTTTAAAAAAATGTACTAAAATGCAATAATAAAACACAAACCTTAATATAAAATCGTTTTAAAAGTCTACTAGTGTTACAGGATTTTAAAATTTTTGGACTAGTTATGAGTTTAAGTATTTATGTTAAGAAAAACCTAGTAACACAACCAATTTGTTAATCTCTATAGGTCTGCATGATTTTAAAGTCGTTATTCCAAGATTTGGTATACATTTCTATGTAAATGTGTACCAATCTATACAGGTTCCCCTATCAAATCTTCAATGTTTTCCCCAGCAGTCTATCAACAAGAATCGTTGCATTTGAAATTCAAATATTGCTCCTTGCCCGCAGGGGGGATTCGCAAACTACACCGAAACTATCACTTGGCCAAATCCAATTTCATGAATTAATTACAGCCATCGGAATCAACAAACTGGGTAGCACAATGGCCAGCTCCAGCTACGGCTCCTCTGGAGCTCTGGACTGTAAGCCTCAATTAGTTCTGTTTCCGTTTCCATCCCGATGTGTGCAGTGGTGCAAAGCCTTCCATCTACGTGGATTATTTTAGTGCTGGATGCTACGACTTTGATGGATTTGCGTGTGGATGTGGAGGGGATTGTTGAAAGGGTGTGGGGATGGGAATGGGGGTGGTGCATCGTGGCGGCCAGTAAAGGATTGCGAGAGCTCTCTCATCCTGCTGGACACTTTTCACCACTGCCACTTTACGTTTGTGTGCACAGGCATTGGACGGAAAATCGAAGATACGTATGCATTTCTATATATTTGGGTGCTGGTTGTTTGTTTGCTTCTTGGAAAAGTGCTCTGGGTGCAATTGATGCGAGTCATACATGAAATACTTTGGGGTGAGAGATAGAGTTTTGGTGCGGTGTCGGCTTACTCGAAATATAGACGATTAAAGTTCAGAATTTTGATTGTTTTTACTACCTGGAGACGGAGCTTTGTAAAGGAGTTTCAATTGTTACTGGTGTTGCATACCCTAAATCAGAAGGCTCCTCCTGTTCGTAGGCGAAATCGTCGGAGTCCTCGCGACCGGAGTGCCACCACGCGATGC